AGATTCTATAAAACGCTATTCTATTCTATAGGATTAGAAATTACTTAACTTAATTTCTAAGTATCCTAGGAGTTAACTCGTATTTACGAATACTCGGCAATTACTCTCGTACTTACGAGATATTATAACGAAGCCTACGCCTATATAAAATAGGCCTATACTTCTTTACTTAGATAGATCTTAAGTTATTTAATTATAAGGGTTTAGCTAGAAATTTAGAGTAATTCGTCTAACTACCGTATAACGAGTATAAGGGTTTAGCTAGTATATTAGGGCTCGAGGCGCTTAGTTATGAGAGAAGAGAGAAGGGGCCTTAGCATAGAAGAACAAGCAAGTAAGGAAGAAAGTAGACGATCGAGGAGATAAGCAACGGAACGACGAGCAACCTAATATACGCGAGCTTACATTAAGTATTAAATAGTAGTTATAAGAGTATAGTTTATAGAATTAAGAGCGTTTTTCCTTCTACGAGTTCGGCTATATAACTATATAGCCTAAATTTTAGTAGTAGTAATCTTTACGAATAAAGCTATTATAGCTTTATATATATCTATTACGAGAAGTCTTAAAAGTATAGTCCTTTAGCGGGCTTAAGTCTATAGAAATCGATAGCGTTACTATTCCTTCGCTAATATAGATAAGTAAAGAGTATCGTTTTAGTTATAGCTACTATAGTATTCGTTTTAACGTTAATTAGTTTTTATCCTACGATCCTAGAAGAGAAAGAAACTCTAGTAATATAGCCCTACCTTCTTATTTAACCTATAGAATAGGCGAGAATATATACCGATTTAATCTTAATATAAATAGTACTTCTTAAGAGAACGAACGAATATTATAAGTATATTATCTTATAAAGGACCTTAGAACTATAGGAAAGACGACTACTAGCGGTTAGACCTAGAAGAAAACTATCTTAGGAGATTAAAAACTACGAAAGAACGAAGTATTAGTTTAACCTTAAGAACGACGAAAGAATAGGTATATAATACTTTCGAAACTATCGGAGGAATATTTTATTAAGAAAACTTTTTCCTAACTTAAAACTAAGCGGAAAAGCTTAGGAACGACTTTACTAGAAATTCTCGAGTATCTTATTTACTTAATTAAATTAAGATATTTATTTAGAACGCGTAGAAGTAAACTCGAGGGCGGATATAATTCGAGCGTAAGGTACTCGAAAAGTTAAGAATAATTATAGATACTTAACTAAAATTTATTTCGACTATATAATTATATAGTTTAACGAGACGAGTCTTTAAAAATTAATAAGTATCTTAATAATTCTTTTAGTATTATAATAGATAAGAAAAATAACTAAGTAGTAGATTAGTTATTTTATTTTTAAGTATAGAATTAAGAAAAAAGTTAATAAAATAGCTATTAGAAAGATAATATCTAGTAACTTAAGTAAGATAAGACTTAATAAGAAGTAGAGAATCTAAAGACGAGAAATATCTACTAGATTAAAGCTACTAAGATTAATAAGTTCTTTAAGAAGATAGAGTAAGGTAAGAGAACCTTTATTCGCGTAGATATTTAATATAGTAGAATTAATAACTTTATTATTAATAATAGTCGTTAAAACTTCGTTAAGTTTAGAAGGAAAGTTACTAAGTATAAGCGGTTTTATAGTACTAATACTATAGGCTAGTATACTATCTATAGAAGTTCCTTTCTTTAATAGTCGTAACGTTATAGAGTTTCTTCGTTCTTTTAATAATTTTTATAACGATTATAGAGTATCTATAGGAAGTCGAGTTAATTAAGTCCTTTAATACTATAATTTAAGAATCTTAATATACTTAAGATCGATAGAAGAATATAATAATAAGAACTAGGAGAAGTTAAAGGATTTTATATATAAAGAATAGGAAGATAGCGATAATAAGTAGAGAATAAAGACGCTTATATTCCTTTAAGGACTTTCTAAGCGCGAGAGAAATAATAAATATAATATTAAAGAATATTACTACTAGTTTAAACTATTAGTAAATATATTAATTATAGAGAATTAGCTTACCTAATACTAAGCTAGAATAATATTCCTCTAAGGACTACTAGACTAGATATAAAAGAAGATTATAATTAGTAAGAAGATTAATATTAAAGACGCGAAATTACTATAATTTAAGGAAATCTATAAGTATACTATAGAGATTTAGAAATCGTAGGAAGGCCTAGAGGTTCTAAAAGAGGTTCTAGAGTAAGAGGAAGTTAAAGATCTTATAGAAAGTATTAAATAGAAACTATCTATTTAGTTCGAGAAGAGAACGATCTACGAATAGTCTATAAAGAGATTAAAGTCTATAAGCTCTACGAGAGAAGAAAACTTAATAATCTTTTAGTATACGAACTCTATTCTAAGAAAGTACCGCGATAGACTTCTTTAGAATAACTATAAGAATAAACTAGTTAAGGAATTTAAATTAAAGCTAATTATATCGCTTACTATTTAACTTAACGCTTTCTTAACTTAATTAGACGACCTTAAGAAGAAAACTTAATAGTAGAAGGCTTATCTATAAGAAACTTAAAATCGATACTTATAAGCGATAAATAGATTAAATATAAAAGAACTAATTATCTATTACTACTATAGCGGTTCGTATACTAGGCCGTAATATATAGCGATCTAGAAAGATATCGCGAATAGAAAAATATATATTAATAGAAATAGAAGAATCTATATTAGTTTATCTCGTAAGGAAGTATACGAAGTTTATTTCCTAAGGAATTAATTAGGAAGAGAATACTTAAGAGATATCTTCTTATAGAACGAGGAATTAAAGAAAAATATATAAGTAAATACTATTATAGTTAATATTAATATAGAAGGTCTTAAAGAAGAAATAGATAAAGAGTTTATAAAGTATTTTATTAAAGTAGCCGCTACGAGAGTCGTAAATAGAATAGTAGCTAGAGACTCTATATAAGGAATAAGGAGTCGAGGAAGAGAAAATTACGAACGAGATAGCTATCTAGCGAAGATTCTAAAGAGAAAGGATTAAGTAGTTACTAGAGATATTTAAGCTAGATAAATAAAAGATTTAGAAACTCGTAAAGAAGAGTATATTAAAAAGAAAATAAAGTACGATTTAGAATTATTCTCGAACGAGAAGAAAATAGCCTAGCGTATAAAAGAAAGAAAAGAATAAAAGAAAGAAGTTTCGATAATTAAAGAAAATAAGATTCCTAAAACTCTTAATAGTATAGAGGATACTATAATAGACGATATTAAACCTCGAATACTACGATTCGATAAAAGTAAAGAGAAAATAAAAATAGTAGCGAAGTCGAAGGTATTTCTTTATAGTAAAATACCTTTTCTTATAAAAGATAAGCTTAAGAAGATATTAAATAAGATAAAAGAAGTAGAGAGTCTAATTAAGTTACTTATAAAATAAGAAGTCTAAGGAATTATAGTATAGTATTTCTTAGTAGAATCGAAGAAAGTATAGAGTCTACTATTTTCGAAGAAAGAATAGAAGTATAATAAAGAT